TGCAACTACGTCCTAACAGGTACATTCCCCAACGAGCTGTTTATAACCATCGCGCACGGGAAGGAGATCAGAAATACAAGAGAACGCTCGTCTCATCAGTGGCACTGTGCTATTTATTAATCGAATCGGTAGGCACGTTGGCGAAATGGGAGGATACTGGTTCATTCCGTGTGGCCGCTTGTTATCTTTGCTTGACAGGCCTGAAGCTTCGCTTTGGCACGAATACCATGTAAGCTCCAAGGCCCGCTTCGTTCCGGTGATCAGTTCGAGAACTTCGGAGTGTCTGGGCAGGCTATGAGCAGATTAAAATAATATATAATTATTATTATAGAATAGAAATAACAATCTCAATGCCGCCGATACAACACATCGCAGGTGGACAGAGATTTTTAGAAACTTGTCATTTCTAATTTCCAGGAGTTTTTAAATTAATTTAATGTTTACCGGAGTAACCGGACTAAAGAATGTGACAGTACAGACATCTAGGAGAGAAAAATCATATATTTTATTTACATTTTCTTTCTCCATCCCGAAGTTTGTGCAGGTTTGCTCAGCGAATGCATCGTATTCCACAAATGTTCCCGGATCCATAAGGACACTGAACCGTTCCCGAGCGGTTAATTTACCCTAAGATAGAGCAAGTTTGCTGTAACAGCGAGTGTTGACTTTCTGAAAGGCGGATCGGAGCAAACAAACCCTGGGGCACTCGTACGTCTGGCCATCACATCGCAACAGAAAAAAATAGTAAAAAACAACCACTCGAGCAAAGTTGTAGAACATTCAGTGAGGTCAGCTGACAATGAGCCTCAAGCATGCTTGTTTACAGAAGGTTTTTCGACTGGAAAAAGGCAATTACAAGTTGACACCACAGGTAAACATATCTCCCCCAGAACCCCGCTACCCATGATTAATATAATATATTTATCAAGCAACTGCTTCAGTCGCATCCAAAAGGTCGTCTTCCCGATACTCCGACGCGCGCTGGCATCAGTGCGCTCCGTAATGCGAAGATTGTCCGTCTCACTGCGAGCGTTGTATATGTTTTACAGCATTTTAGTAGTTCCTTCATAATAGTAAAAAAAATTTTGGACGCTGTATTTTCGATGTGTGTTCCAATAATTTACAATGTCACCTTTGAGCACTTCAAATCGTTCTGTAACACAATCGCACAGTTTTACCTTAATAACTTTACTTGCGGTCTCCTTGAGATTGAATTTTATTGATCCTAAACGTCTACCGGCACCGCACGGCGTACATCTGGTAGACGGCCACGAATTAGGTACTTTTTGCGGCAGGTTCATTGAACCGTGACAGGTTCTGATATGCGGTATACGACTAGAATCAGTCGTAGCATATATGAAACTGTAGTTTCGGTTTTCGGTCTTCGATATCCGTGTGTAAACATAAGTAATTTTGGCGCCCGTAGAGTACGGAAGGGTCCGGCCGGTTGAAGGAAGCGGTGGGGCCTAACAGTCATGTGACATGAGTCATGTGACATGAGTCGAGTAACGATGCGTGAAACTTGTAGATGGCGTTGTTGGCTCGGCATCTTTTTTAGGTTACATTATGTGCTCCTACATTATGTAGGACAGTAGGAGCACCTTGCAATGTGCTCGTACATTATGCACATTGCATCGGTTTCATCGGTTCTTGGAGGAGAAAAACGGAATTGTAGTACCCAAACAAACGTAATCCATATGCTCCTGCAATGTGCTCCTACATATGTAGGAGCACATTGCAATGTGCTCCTATATATATGTGCTCCTACATATGTAGGAGCACATTGCAGGAGCATATTGTATGTGGAGATTATAAGGGGTAGGAATATAAAGTGCTGAATAGAGAATTTAATAATATAGTAAATTATATTAAAGGTGATATGTTTGACGAAATGTGATAATGAAGAAAGGGTGTACTAATCCAGTGTAGCGGAGAAAGGGTCTACATTGAATTTGGGTGAAGATAAAGGGATTTTTACTGTGTATGGTATAAATATATTCGACTTTCTGGTTGTTCGTATTTGAGTGTTTAATGAAGTGTTACAGGAAGTGGAGTGTGTTGCGGGTTGTAGATAGTGATGGATTATTGTGGAAAATTCAAGAAATTTCGAGAAAGTTGATTGCTTAATGGAGCAGACTATTATGTTTTGCTCTGATAGTCTTGGATGTGTAGGAACAGGTGGTTTGTATATGGGAAGTAGGTTAGTAGGTACATTAAAAGGTTGTTCGAGAAAATGTATAGTTTAATTGGTTTGTTGACTGGATTTTTTTTAGTTCGTTGGGTAAATAAGAAGTTGAGGAAACTTATGTTTGAGTTATTATGGTGTGAACGAAGTATATGGAGCGAGCAAATTGTTTTTCTTGTTGGTTATTTTTTGGTGGCCGGTGTGGATTTGTAGATACCTACTGATTCAGGTTGCTGTCTTTTGTTTGGCTTTGGTAAGTCTTTTTAGGTTGAGTATGGTTTAGTAAATTTTCTTTCATACATTATTTTCGTTTCAGAATTCTTTTTTTAATAAAACAATGGAAGGTGGTTGTGATTGTAAGAAATACATGCGTGAGTATATACGTGATTATAAAAAGAAATGCAAAATCGAAACTAATGGTAATTGTAGCAGGGAGGATAATGTGGGAAGTGGTGATGATGTTAGATATGAGAATGTAAAAGTTAAAAAACAAAAATTTATTCGGAGTACTAAAGGTGGTGCGTTTTCTGGTATGTTTTGAAAAAATTATTGGAGAATTTTTGGACAATTATTGGACAATTTTTGAAAAGAGAACGTGCTAAACGACATTTGCGGAGTATGGTAATGTGTAATGGTTGTCCGGATCTTTTCTTAAGCATCACTTTACGATTTTGTCCTGAATTGTTGTGTTTTGCTGACCCTGTTAAGTTTACATTTTCTGTTTTTTAACTTCAAATTTTCATGTCTGACATCATCACTTCTTCATTATCTTCCTTGCTACAATTACCATCAGTTTCCGTTTTGCGGTTTTTTCTCTATAATCACGCACATGCTCGCGCATGTATTTCTTGCGATCACAACCAGTTTCCATTATTTTGTTAAAAAAAATACTTAAAAGAAACTATCTATGAAAGCAAACTTACTAAACTATACTCAACCTAAAAAGACCAAAGCCAAACAAAACACAACAACCTGAATCAGTACGCTTCGGAAAATCTAAACCGGCCACCAGAAAATAACCAACAAGAAAAACATTCTCCTCACTGCATATACTTCGTCAAATCCATAATAACTCAAACACAACGTTCCTCAACTTCTAATATACCCACCGAGCTAAAAAAAATCGAGTCAACAAACCAATTAAACCAAACATTCTCTCAAACAACCTTTTAATGTACGTCCCAGCCTACATCCCATATACAAACCACCTGTTACTACACATCCAAGACTATCAGTGCAAAACATAATAGTTCGCTCCATTAAGCAATCAACTTTCTTAACTACACAAATTACTACTACACAAATTACTACCACCAAAATGACTGTGTAAACCTATGGAAAGTTACAGACTAAACGCGCAATTTTCAAGTTCTCAACTGTAGTAAAGAAACACCCACAACGTATCATGTCCTTCATACACTCACAAAATTCTTTTCCCTACTATTATATTATTCCTTTTATATACACAAATCCGAAATTATTTTAAATCCCAGTATTCCTCTTTCTTATCCCGTACCTGCCGCTACACAATCGAGAGATTGTCCACGCAGTCTATCTAATGCTAGGGCCACACTTCAAGTGCGAAGGCCTTCGCACAGTGCGAAGACAAAAAGTGCTAATAAGTGTGAGCGCAAAATGTTCTAAGGGATCCTTCGCATCGATCAAAAAGTATGAGCGCCTTTCGCACTTTTTTCTTAAAACGAGTGCGAAGAGCGTCTTCGCACCGTTTTTGGTGGGAGGGGATTTTCTTTCTCCTTCGCACTTGTGCGAAGGAATGGACCAATACCGAGCAACCGGATGTGATTCTGAATGTTTCTAAAACAGATAAATAGCATAAAATAATTAGTGGTACCTGTTTGTGCAAATGTATTATGTGCAAGTGTATTACATGTATTATCAATAAAAGGTCATGCCTTGCCAACGTTTCTTCAAAAATTTTGTTGACTGTACTTTTCCCTAATCGATATCGAATTGCGATATCGTGCTGAAAACAACCGCTAGCCAAAATTCTGTAAACGAAATCATTTAATTATAGACCCGCCAGTGCAGCGACGTTTTTATTGAGAGGTTATAGGTGTATATGATTTTGTACAAAAATCAGCACGTATGCATACAACTGTAATGGACAGTAATCTAGACGTTGACAGCAGACGTTAACGGACAGTAGCGCGTGATCAAAACGCTAGACAGGAGGATGGTCAACAACAGACGTTTTTTCGGCAGAATGTTAGGACGCATTTTTCAAGGGAGGAATTCAATTCCGCTTGAGAGAATTATTAAGGATTATCTCATTGCCACAATAATTTTAAGATTTATAAATTCAAACCGAAATGCAGTAGCTCTCGACCTGAATCCCGTCAGTTTTGCGCTCATGACTTGGTGAAGGCGGAGCAGATCTCAGTTTCGTAGAAGTTCGATGAAGTGTGAGTGCTCACGTTTTAAGCAAATTGTGTTCGAACGTTTTCTTCGGTTCGCACCTCTCGCACTTTTTGGTGCGAAGAAAAGCTTCGAACTGTGCGAAGGAAAAAAGTTCGATGAAATTTGCATCGCACTTGAAGTGTGGCCCTAGCATAACAAAGGTATATGTGACAGTTTTCAGACATGCTACGGTCGATACATGGATCGGATTGCGTTAACAGCTTTGCGTTCCTTTCAAAAGGCTGGTTGCAAAATATATTTTTCGCCGGCTTGCTACATATCAGTGGTTAGTCATCCAGATTTTTCGTGTTTTGGAATATCAGCGATCTGCTCAAATACATTTTTACTTTGGGTCTTGCTGTTACAGAATTGTGGGAATCTTTTTCTTTGGGAATTTTATTAGGCTGCTGTCGCTGATGCAAACTGTAATATCTGGACCCATGAATCAATTGCTTATAAATTAACATGGACTAACAATCATGCATTATTTTAAGCACAAAAAAGGTTACGTGTCAATGCTTTATTTTAGCACGAATTTCAGGTGGAATAATCCCCTAACGCATGACTAAAAAACAAAATGATTTCTGTTCTACCGAACGTCTCAGTAGAGTTAAAAAGCATGTGTAATTTTGTGCCAAAAAGATAGATGGCCAATTTACAATGTTATAACTGGAATCACTATAGGGCTACGGTAAGGACCATATATGATGCGCTCTTGTCACATGACGGAGGTTTGTTGACGACCGGTTTGAAGGCCCATATTAATGGAGGTCAAGGAAACCAGCCACTGAAAGGTTGCTGCGGATTAGGAATCCCGACATCGTAATTCCTGCATGCTATTATAACATTTGTGGCGGACTGAAGTAAAGCGAAGGGGACTTGGGGTTCTGCTTTGCTGTGAAACGAACAATATAAACAAGAATATATTATCTATATAATGAAATCATTCACAATGGTCGCCTTAATTGAAGCGCAGTAAGTACTTTTGTGTTTCGCTTTTTAATCGAAAACAACGACATTATAAAATTGATCACGTTGTATATTTTTGCTAGCACAAAACGAGAAGTTTTAGTTGCGCCAATACCTAACTTTCAGCAAACCTTGGAGTGACTGAGCAAATTCATATTTATACGTGCTAAAGTTTTGCCTTCAACATGATACTAATGATGCGTTTATAAAAAGCGTTTATCATTATCAAAGCGGTTATAAAACAAGTGAAATGTGTTTCATTGCACGGAATACCAGTGTTTACCGGCGATTTATTCGGCGAATGTACCTAGAAACTCACTGGCCGCCCGTAACAGCACGTGATTACGTTGGCGTTGATTGGCATTGGTGGGATTCAACACTATCTGCGACTGTGAGGTGTTATTTTTCGGCAGGGACTGCAGTAGAGCTGTCCATATCCGCAAGATCTGCAACCATAAAGGGCACAAACATGAGTCGAGAGTGTTGCTGTGAGCCTGTGATTAGTTAAGGATTCGCTATGAAGATTGGCTAAACCGTGTTAAAATGCAAGCAAAAAGTAATCTCATAATCGTCATCCGCTTTCCAGTAATCCATATTGAATAAAAGCACCACTTTATTGTAAGCACTGCGTATTTCGGTACTGTTGGTGGAGATTATACTGTATATTCGCTTCCGGAAACTGTCGTGCTTGAACGGATATTGTTCCGATCTGTATTGTACATCACAGCTTAACGGTGCTCGTTATCTACGTATGACGCTTTTTACATTTTCTTAGCTGTTCAGTTTTTTGTCAATAAAGTTTTTGTTCTGTATATCGGTGTTTTCTGTAGATTACATATTGATGTGATAACGAAATACATTAATGTGTACAGGATAATACAATATGCACTATTTATAACACAATATCAGCTGTTGTATAATTTGTGCTGTTTATGGAAGTTTTCAGTTCTGCGGTATCTTTTACTCATTATGTTTGAAAAATAGTTTAAAGTAGTTATGAAAAACCTTTCTGTTGTAAACGATCGTTGGCTGTATCGTCATTATCTGAACCAGAACCGGTTGAGAAGCACAAAGATCAAGCACAATTGCAAATTACGTAGTACCACTGATCATCTATAGTATACTTATTTTATGATAATAAGTATTTATCTTGCGCCTAGGCTTGATTTTCGAGTAACCGCACCAACAAATACTGTAGTAATGCCGAAGAAGCACAGATATCGTATCTGTACGAGTATAATATTACTGTATAGAGTAACCCTAACTATTCGAGCGGAGAGCATGCAAATATAGTATATATTAATGTATGCTAGCATCCAAAATAACTTTGCATCACATTAGTTCGGTAACTTTGCTGAAGCATATTTATTCCAGAACAGAAAATATAAAATGAGTTTGTGTGCGAATCAAACTTGATCATGTACGCAGTTTGATTTGTTATTGGCAGCAGCAATGAAAAATAATCAAAATATTAGCACGGCAGAACTACTTAATAATTGAAAAACTATCTGAAGTCCTCAATATAGCTGCGGAATTCTTTTAACTAACAACAGCCAAGCTAAAATGTTGTTTAAAAAAGCGTGGGATAGTAACATTGGCTTGAAAGCAAATAATGCGACGTTCAATCTGTATAAGTACAGATCGTTTGCCTTCTGCGACATACGGTGACGCAAAGGGGTCAGCTATTCCATCGTACCTGTTTGTCCTTAATGCTGCTGTCGGTTTTCCGCGGCGGTGGGACAGGATCGAAAATGACCCATGCCGCGCAATTGCATATCAGTATACATTCCACAATGGCTATACAGACAGCCAAACTCGGCACTCCTTGTTGCATTTTCATAACGGACATAAAATTGTAGTGTGGCTTTCGGTCGACTATAGAGATTTTGGGAGATGTTTGTAGTTTCCGAAACGGAAGAGAAACTGAACGTCCCTGGCCTTTAAATACGCTCTTAACAGTCTTAACACTGCGTTCCATCTGTACCACTATATATCACAGAAGTAGCCTATTATAAGCCGGTCGTGCGTGCGTCTTAGCGGGCGGGATTAACCGGTACGAGGGGGCACTATACATGGGGATTATGACGCAGGAAACAGACCTACTAATCCGTTTAACAACATCGCGAAGATCATACGTTCCGACATGATAGACGGGTATTTTTGTTAATTATAATTGGACAATGGAAGGTCACAGTGGGTCCGCCGGATACAGTTAGCCGCATTCGCGAAGGCAATACTCTTATCATATGTACCAGTAGGTATAATGCCGATCGAATCACCTGTGATAAGACATAATTCTTTGATTATTTTAGCTTGGTATACTGGATCTTCTGCTGAAGTGAAGTAAGTGAAATCCTGCATTTTAATGCGCAAACACACGTTTAACTCGGAGGTAAAATGCTCACTGATTCAATACAGACCATGATGAGACCACAAACCAGGTTACCGTTAAAATTGATTGATGTTCGCTGTGGATATTATTTGTCGATTCAGCTACAAACAGATGTGCAGCAGCTAGCAAGGACACCGAAACTGTTAGCAAATAAAACAATAAAAAATTAGTTATAAACAAACATTTAGGGAACACTGTTGAAAACGAAAAAAAAGTCGACAAACTATGCTCAGAATTGAAGCAATTCTCATTCGCGGTTAAAGCAACGCTTGTAATTTAGAGTCGTTCATTGAGCAAAAACTTGAGAAGTTCCTGCTTGGCGAGGACGCGAGGAATTTTAATTTGGGCGAAGGAGGCCGTGGAGGTCATCTGCATGTACTCTTTCAGACGGTGGAAGGCCTCGGCTTTGACCGGCGCTACCACTGGAGGACTTAGAGAATTGATTTCGCGCAGCTCCTTGTAGCGGAAATGGCGTTTGGCGATCTCATGGTCAATCTGTGGTTTGAAATTAACAAATTAGTAACAAACATTCACTATTTCTTAAATTTGATAGCTATTGTCATTATGTGGACGCTTGTTAGTGACCTTTTCGGCTAGCTCCTTAGCCAGTTCTTTCACATCGGCATCGGGTTTGGTCGGTACCATCTCCACGAAATAGATGTGATGTGAGCCTTTCTGTGCTGCAGTATTGGTTCAACATTATTCGACTTATCTCGCCCAAAATAAGGAAAATATGATACGCGAAATATTAGTTCAGCTTGCTTACTGAGAGGCGCTTTCACCATCTCCATTAAAACACTTTCGCAGCTGGAATAATCGGCGATACGTTCCAGTTTGCCGGCAGCCTTTAGTTCTTTTTCGGCGATTGACAAGCAGGAATAGATCAGTTCTTCTGTGATCTTTTCACCTTTGCTGCTCAGCATGGCACTCGCTCTAAAGATATATGCGTGTCGACGAGAATGAATACGTAATATACGTATTTATCAAGATTCTGGCGACTTTTGGCTAATAAATCGGAGATCCAATCCAGCAGAAAAATATGTACGTAATCATAGCTCACGCAACGGCGTTCCGGCATTATAAATGAGGTCAAACAGATATTTTGAAAAGTGCAAGGTTTCGCTTAGTGCGTAAATGCATTATCTACATCAAATGAATTACTTGTCTAAGAAAATCTATTCGACATTGGTATTTTTATATCCTCGAGATATTTTAATCATAATTTATCGGTTTCGTAATTATTTTTTGACACGCTGCGATCCCTTGGGACCGGAAGTATCTGGCTGGTTACGCTTTCCAAACCACAAAACCGGATACGTGAGAGGATTAGCCAGCTCCGATAACGTCAGCGCTATTCTAATGCCTACTTTTCATTCATAACAGCGTTATGATTTCCGCAGTGCGCTGCATATGGCTCACTACTTGGAACTGTCACTCGAGTAACCCGCCCTTCCTTAAAAGAGCTGGATCTTACCGGGAAACGAATTCAAAAAGTGGAACCTGATTGTAGAAGCTGACCACGCGAATCAAATCACCTGTCAATACAATTTCCGGTAAAATGCCGTGATGGTACAAGGACACTTTTATAAATTAATTCAGCCTATATCAGTTAGCCACGTTCAATGGTTGCGATTATTATACCCTGGGGCCTGGATTGTGTAATATTTATCGTAAACGTAAAAACAAAATGAACCGTACATAATTTTGAATAAAACTTGAATTTACACTACAATTTGCATTCTGTGCATACCCATGCGGTAACGGCACAGCCCGGAGCCAGTAGTGATGACCAGTTCGTAATCGGAACCAATGCGCAACTGTAAAATTAACCCGGCATTAATAGTAATCACTGACATTTCAGCAACGATTGTCCCGGTGAATAGCAGCGTAGGAGACGGCGGTCGTGCTTAAAGCTTGTGGTGCCCACCTCATCGGCTAATACGGTTTCCGGGTCCGGTTTGGAGATCTCTTCCAAGGGGATGAATTCGTAAAAGTGCGTGCGAGGCAGGATCGAGTAGCGAGGGATGGGTTGGTTGAACGGCCAGAAATTCGCTCCTAGGAAGCCTTCCGTCGATGCCAGGCACGTTGAGTACAACAGAATACCTGTTACAAAAACCTTTACAACAAACTAAATATTTACTGAGCAAGCACGCACTGACTACAAAAAAAATAAGCCAGTCGACTGTTAAATCAAGACAAAATTCTCCAGTAAGTAATCAACAGGAAAACGTATATTTCGATTTCCGATTAGGTACTATAATTCCTTACAAAACTAGAAAGGTCAATTTCAGTACAGACGATTAATCTTACAATAAATAAAATATTTATTGGGCAAGCAGGCACTGACCAAATTACCATAAGTTTAAAAAATAAGCCAGTCGACTGTTAAACATGGACCTCTTTAATACAATTTTAATTAATTTTTCAGTATTCTAACTCCGCGCAATAACTAGCTAAATCAAGACAAAATTCTCTAGTAAATAATCATCAGGAAAACGTATATTTCGATTTCCGATTAGGTAATATAACTTTTAACAAAATTGGAAAGGTCAACTTCAATACAGACAAATAATCTTCGTCGCGTAATCTTCCTGAATCCATGTCGGGGAACTACTCAAATATAATCAAATAATCGGCAACCAATTCTAATAATTCAGTATTATAATAACATAGCGGTACCGGATTATGGAGTACCGAGACATAAATCTCATACTAGCGCGGTGTCTGTAATTGTCTTTAACTGCCTCGCTTAGATTATTAAAGGGTATAGCTCCTGCAGGCATTACTGTATTAATGCTTGTGACACATCAGCAGACCTTTCGGAAGATCGAAAACAAACGAGTCTATACGTCACGCATTATCGAACAATTATCCAATTTATAATAGTGCAAATCAATAACAATTTCCATCCTTCTCACCTTTGCAGTAGAACTCTCGTAAATATTTGGCGTAAATAGCAAAAGCCCCGGTTGTGATGCAGTTGATAATTCCTAATTCCGGCCACAATCGACTGCCAATTCCTTCGAATCCTAAAACAGAAAATGCTTCTTGTTACTGGTACCACGAGGCAACCATTCCAAAAACACTTATAATCATGATAAATTATATTACAGTATACTTCCATGCACGGGGCACCAGACACATTCATATTTGGAATGATAAAATTCGTTAGTGTTATTATTTTAAATATGCATGTGCTTGTGTGTTTGGTACAATGTTTTTTGTCCTAAATATAAACATCATCCTTGATATATTTTTACCAATCAACACCTTCATATTTTATTTCATTTGTGCGTACGGCATACATATCTTTACCAAAAAGTTCTGTAAACCATGGACAGAAGTAATTCTTAACCTTGTACCCTTAAAAAATTGTTGCAACCAAAATGCATTGTTTTCTAAAGCTTTTGATGCCGGTATAACAATTTTAATTTTATACAGTATATGTGCATTTACAATTAGCAATTATTGTGGCTGTAGAAACATATTCGCATTTGCCCCTACACGTTCATTAACCCGCTGATTTGTACCGACCTTTATTAAACTCAATCTCCAATTCGTCGGCACGCTGCGCATCCGGGCGCAGATGCTTCAGCAGTTCCTGGCGAATATGCAGCGGCACTTTGGGATCGGGTTTGAGGGTACCGTGGCGGATGTCATTGACCAGATCCTTCCACTCGGACTCCATCCGCTGGAAAGCAAAGTACACCAGCGAGGCGAAGATACCCTCGATGGCGCCCAGTTCACGGAAGCGCAGCGCAAAGAGGATCTGCACGTAGCCACCGGCGCCGGCATCCTCGATTTGGAAGGCAATGCTGGGTACGGTGTAGATCTCGCCCATCTTCGTCCAGATGGGATTGGCTGTCACAGGTCCACGCAGGACGCCGCTCTCCGTCTTCTCGATGATGCGCGGCGGAGTGTAGGACGCTTTCCATACCTGTATCGAAACAAAAGTAAACATCTATTTCCACGGCGCAAATACAAAGTTACAAACATACACAGGCTAAAACAACGGACAGCCAGGTTGCTTCCAAATAACTAAATACCATGTACTATTCTTATCGTTAATTGCGTTCATTTAACGCATTTTCTGCGAGTTACGAACATGCATTCTATAAAGCAGGACAGTTATCGATTTTGCAAATGAAAACCGTTATCAAATATTTGTTTACATATAATTTTGCTGAGAAAAAATATGGAGACTAGCTAACCATGACATTTTAAAAGTCGCCGTCGCGATGTGGGAACGGCAAACGTACCTTGCAGTTATTGCCCTGACTGTCGCAAAGTTTACATACTTATCATTACTCCTTCCACGAAGAAATTACTCGTAATCTCGCGACAGTCATTATTATTTCAGTGATAAATCTTAAACGCTATAAGGCACATGCACGAAGTTAATCACAATTAGCCTGAATCAGCAGACACAATCTTCACATGCTGACGCCGACTAACCCTGGAGATAGGGATACATCGGCGAATTGCACCAGCAAAATTGACAAAATATTTCCTTGCACTGCTACGCACACACCACAATTTCTTTCGTGTACTTGAATTATTTCATGGAAATTAACACAACCGATTCATGCGGGCCATCAGATTGTTTGTAGTTTTGATATAAAACAGTTACCTAACTGCAGCTATTTTATTTCTAGTAAGTATAGATGTGTCGACTGTTACAGCCAATTAAACATTTGGAGAACAGAATCATAGAGCAATCAAGCTCACTTCTGAAATTTTGCAAAATGCAGAATTTAGTCTGCAAAATTCTTAGCGAAATTCTTAGTTAATGATGCAACACTATTAATTTAACGGTGCAAAGAATTAACTAATGCAAAGTCAGCTGTTTCCACAATACTTACTTATTTAATGTATTGCATTGCACATTCGCGTTGAAGCCTATAGCTAGTGGTACTTATCGCAAAACACAAATTAAAAATTGCTGGTAGCAGTCTTTAATACCAGCAGTATAAAACATCGGAATTATTTGCCGGGGCAGTACACCACCGGATCTAATAAATTCGCAAAATGCACAAGCAAGCCAGAATTTCTATAGAGCACTCACCGGACGCATCCAGTGCAGTTCCGACCATTGCACCTTATTGTCGGCATTGTACATGAACAGCGCCAAATTCCCCAGCTGCTGCAGTCCGGTAAAGCGTGTATGCGGTACAATACTGGGTGATCCCGTTGTCCCGGACGTCTTCCCGAAATACGTGGGCTTCCGTTTGGTCAGCTGGTTGCGCGTGCCCTGCATCTCCCGCTCCACGTAGGGCCGAATGTATTCGTACTTAATAATGGGATGGCGCTCACGGAAGTCTTCGATACTGGTGATATTGCCCAGATTGTGATCGGTGGAGTACTGTGTGGTCGCGTTCTCCTTCAGCAGCGCCAACAGAGTCTGCTCCTGGGTATGGTGGAGTTTCTTGGAATCGTTGTGGTACTGCCAGCTGAGATACATGCCGTAGAAGTGGAAGATACGCGAAGTGATATACTGGCGGATGCGGGTTTTCAGTGGCCATTGCGGATACGAGTAGAAGAAGAAGTGGATTAAGGTCACCACTGTGACGGTTGGAATGACCACTACGACAAGTAATCATATGATTTACTGTTTTACGTTTTACGGGTCACTTTTACCTATCGAAAAAATTGTGAACGAGCATTAAATTAAGCAGAACGAATGTCAAATGATTGAATCAGTGCCTGTCAAGTACCTCGTTTCCGCTAATTCTGGAAACGTCAACGTACTTGTATTGTAAGTGCATGTACGGTACCTATGTACAGATACTGCATTGTACTATCATCGAAACACGAGTACGCTCTGTTCCGCCGTACTTTTTCATAATTAAGAATTTTGCCCTCTACTACCTGACTGTTAACTATAATTATAATGTTTTTCGTTACCTCCTAAATTAATAAAAATAGAAAAAGATAAAATAATATAATGATACAGCAAAAAGTCAATTTTTTTATCCAGCAAAAGTGCAAAACCATTCTAAGTAAACAGTACATACTGAAACCGGCATTTTCATGTGTTAAGGCAATTAATCTTTGAATTCTTGACACAGAGCATAATCAATGAACTCGTTCGGATCAGCAGTCAAAGAAAAGTCAAATACATGTATGTTAGAAGAGCGATGCCTCTGAGAAACATTTCCTTAAAGATAAAGTGAATACCGAATTAATGATTGCCTTACCCAGCATTAAGTTGGAAAATGGAATAAAAAGGGGCAGCAGCAGGAATCCCACGATCCCCGCCCCAATGTACCAGGCCGTGATGGGCAGCGCCATGCTGTGGGTTTTACCCGGATGGGCCATCTTCCAGATGGTCTCCGGGTCGGCCAGCTTCTCCACCATAACCGACGCTCTGCGGGCACCATTTATCAGCGATCAGATTGTCAAAGAAAGTTTCGAAGCAAATACTTCTGTCATGCAAATCAGGCAAGTGCAGGCAGTACTTACCGTCGTAACATTTTCGGTTGATTTCTTGGAACTGGCGTAAAAACTCTGGAATTCCGGCCGGCGTTAAGCCAAGAATTTACACACTGCCTCGCCTGTGCAACTGCGAAACTCCCCCGCAAAAGTTTCGACATATATTGTTGTTAACGCCAACAATAACTTTTACATAATCTGCGATCTCGCTTATCCCTATCGCCGGAACTATACGATAGCGTATCAGTAGGATATTTTATCGTTGATAAGACGATCAGCAGCAATTTCTACGTCGCAGATTACGGAATTCCGTCCACATACAAGGCCCATATCAATTTTGTAACGCTAATCAACAAGGCTGTATGTAATGCTTTCTCCTGTTACCATTCCACGCGACAGATGAAAAAAAACTTCCACTATGACTTTCTAGAGAAATTTTTATTTGGCGTTTCTTTATTCTGCTACAGATGGCAGGTGATAGCAAAACAAAGGAATCGCCTGTCAAAACGTTCAGGTAACCTTATAAAAATTTTAGTAACTTTTTGTTCTCAAATCTAAAAAGAACTAAATTTTTACTTGAAGGCGGGTTGTACAATGCCAATCGCAACCACAATATTTCAAAAACTGAAGTTTTAATAACAGAATCAAGAATCCACATTTTTGCAAACACAATATTACGAGTACTTTGAGCATGTATAGTCATAATATGGTTTCCAAACAATATAACTCTAAACTACGTTACGTATCAATGTATGGAAATACAGCTAACTTGTAAAAATAAAACAACTGCTGCATAAGGATATCATTCAAAATTAAACACTGAACCAAAAGTACCACTCACAAGCCTCTTTCCATCAACGTTCGTACGAACCCATCTCCCCATGCATGGACATCCGTCCGTTGCAAGTACTTTCTCATCTGCCCCGCCCTTCTTCGCGCCTCCTCTGCCGGCATAGTCAGCGCCTGCAACAAGCCGTTGACCATCGAAGCCGGTTGCCGGACATCCACCAGCACCGCTTCCGTCAGATCTCTCGCCGCGCCGGCAGATCGGCTCAACACCAACACTCCGCGCTCATTACTGGCCAGGTACTCCTTGGCCACGAGATTCATTCCATCGCGCCACGGAGCAATGAAGGCAACGTCCGCCAGCTGATACAAAGTGACCAGCTTGTCGAACGGGACAAACTGGTACAGCAACGTGATGGGTTGCCATTGCGGATCGCCAAAGTCCCGATTGACGCTATCAATCTGCTTTTGCAGGGTGATTCCCAGGTTGCGAAATCTTTTCACTTCTAAGCGATGGGGAACAACCACCATGAAGAGACTCACCTTACCGCGAAATCTGGAGTGTTGCTACAAAGATATTAACAATCTTTGTGTAATTGACACAAATAACAATGTTATCTACTCGTAGAGCACTTATAAACTGTAACACCCTGTACAGTAATTACATTTGATTTGTCCACTTTTACCGAAAAGTTTCTGTTAAATGTTGTTTAAATATCTACTGCAATTCAAAACATGTTTCCACATTTCCTACCAAAACTGTGAGCTTTTCTTACCTTCAACAAACTCTGGAATGCATCGACCCGCTCCAGTAACGCTTTGGCTGGATCTAGTCGATCCACTGTCAGAATAATTTTCCTTCCCAGGTTCATCTTTTTCAGCCTTTCCACATCATCCATACGGACCACACCCACTTTTTCCTGCGCAGTGGAAAATTTCTCATAATCAATTCCGATTGGGAAGTGTCCAACTCTCACTCGTCGATCGTGATTAAGAATACTGATCGTAACATTGTTCACTCTTCCCAGTCCATAGAAGGCCACAGTCTCCAGGAAATTCTTCGCAAAATCGACAATCTGAAAACCCAGAAGATCCGCACCCAGCAATCCTTCCATAATCTCCTTTCCCCACGATAACGTAACAAACCGTTTGGGGGCTGGGAACGGAATATGGAAAAAGAATCCGATGCGACTCCGTGGACGCCGCTGCCGTAACATAGCTGGTAGAAGCATCAGCTGGAAATCGTGAATCCACACCGATGATTCAGCATCCGTCACGTTGAGAATTTTATCCAGAAACATCGTATTGACGGTCTGATACGCTCGCCAATCAGCCGAATAATTAAAGCTGGCGTTTCCGGTGACCTCTCCATCGGTAAACACCGGCCACAGAATACTGCTGCAGAATCCGTGCGAGAACTCGTCCATATCGCGCTGATTCCAGAAAACAGGATAACTGTGGTGCTGATGCATCTTTGGGCAATAAATACCTTGTCGGGTTCTGTGAGGTTGTCGGCGACGATTCCGGCCCATCCAATCCATTTATGCTGTGCCCGCTGGTTATAGGCCGACAGACCGGTAGCCAGACCGCCCAATGTCGGAACAAACCGCAGGAAACCGGTTGCATTGCGCTGCGCACTGATTGGCAGATCAACTGCAGCTAATACAACATCCTAAACATCATTAAAATGTTGCTGAAGTTAATATGACAGCTTCTTTCACGCTTTTGTACATGCGAAATGCGATTGCATTATTGTGGTTGATCTATGCGTCACGATTTATCAGAAATTACGTTTATTTACACAATTAAAATTTAAAAGAATTACTGAATATCGATTTGTAAGCAGGACGGAAAGCTCTGCGTTTGCAGTACTTTTTAACGGTAATTACAAACGACGCCGACTATCTAGCTTTGCAAAAATTTTCTGTTTGCAGCTGTTTTCCTGCTTCTCTCAGATCTCACTTGTCAGTTACACTGGACTCGGGAGCACCATCAGTATTACTATATAACTGATAGCAGCCCTAACGAGCATCTTCACAGATTTCGGATTTATTACTATGTAGGGACATTCTTAAATACCGCCATCAAGGGTCACCGCGTACATACTTTCGGTTTTTGTGAAAACGGGTAATGTCGATTCGGCGTTTTCCAGTCAGTGTGTAGTGATGATGGATCCTGTGATAATGGAGTTAAATGAACGACGAGGTAGAAAACTCCAAAAACAGCGCAAGTAGCAATTCCAAAGAGACGAACCCGTGCTGCAATCGATGCAGTGGAACACCGCTGTCGAATGGCAATACTGTTTACCCTAACCATGACGCAAAATGCGTACGCACTATATGTTTTCAAAATTTTAACGGACTCGAAATATCTAACGTTGTCTATCTGTGTGGGACTCGAAATTCCTCAGATGTTAGATAAATGCCAGCCAAAGGCACATCGGGCAGATAGAGAAACCGGACAGTGAGAAAAGTTTCTTCATTCACCGGACAACAGCCGAATCGCCGCAGGCCATCTGCCACCATCAGTGTCGCCACCAGCAATCGCAGCCGAAAGGCAGTCACACAGAAAACTGCCGTGTACGTCACGGCGAGAGCATCTGCAGTCTAAAATTCCAGTCATAAAATTATGTTTTTAAAATTAAACTTTTAAAATATGTGATTTTTATTTGCAGAAAGTTGTTTTTCAGCTAACTTTGACAGGATTTCCTACGACTACCAGCTATAACATACAAAATGCAGAATACGGGGTAAAGGAATATGAGCTGTTCTCACTTGTATCTCCGCCAGTGGCATTCATACGGAAAGGTTTTGCAGAAAATTAGCTGGAAGGACCATCTTCGTGACGGGAGGTTCGCGTGGCATTGGCAAGGCCATTGCGCTGAAGGGTAAGCGTTTTTCGAGCGGTCTGTTGCAGTAAAGGAAGATTCTGAGATCAATAAAATTAGTGGAAGGCGGACTGGGAGATTCGCCAAAACTCGACAGAATTACTAAATATTTAATACTTTAAAGTTTAACTTATACAGTGGCACCTAACCTGAGTCCTGAATCATGATTGATGCCCTGCCCGCAGCGTAAGCGTTATGAACTCGGACGCAGTCCATGTTAGAGCATACTATTCTGCAGTTTTGCATGCTAACCTGTAACAAGGATGTCATTTCCGTTTTTTATACGTACGATCGGTTTGACAAAATTTGTTTTCGGTGAACATCTGGGCGAGGAAGAAGATGCGACTTACAATTTATTCCTGTGATCGCAAATTTTATCTGTGGCTGTCACCCGTGGCCGTAGGCGACATCCCCTTACCATTTCTCGATTAGTAATCCGCATATGCATTACTTCATTTTGTCGTGGATGGTTGCCGTTTTGCTTGCTTTCTTGGCCAGTTGTTCTGTTGCTGTTTGCTAATCTTGAAATTGAAATATCATATAAATAATAGAAGCAGGAGCTAGTTTTATCCACTTTGGCATCGGTTTTTTTATGTAAAACTAGGTGTTTTTTGTGTGCTTTTAGCGGCACAGGATAAGGCGAACGTTGTTATTGCGGCGAAAACAGTTGATCCGCATCCGAAACTGGAGGGCACCATCTTCTCTGCGGCTGAAGAAAGTTAGACGCCTTATAAGCTTTTGGATATTATCTCCTTGAACTACGATAACTACAAAAAATACTGCATTTTACAGTCGAAGCTGCCGGTGGAAAGTGCCTGCCGGTACAAGTGGATGTTCGTGACGAAGCCAATGTAAGAAAACTAAAAATTTGTAACCAACAGTCTCGACAAAACGACATACAGATCATTTTTGGAAGCTGCTCGAAGACAGTTTTTCATTGGTAGTATATTTATTATGTCTTTCTAGGTCCAGGAAGCGGTGGACAAAGCGGTTAAAAAGTTCGGCGGCATTGATATTGTAAGAGCGGTTGTTGGGAATGCTCTGCCCTGCAGCTGCTTACCGTTTTTACTTGTGAAAATGTAATATTTATTGGGCAAAGGCCATCAATGTAACAAAAAGTGCAGTCGCGGAATACTACTTAAAATGATAGAAATAATGAATGATTGCGACATGATGAATGAATGATTGTGAAATGATTGCGACTTTAGCTATTTCCTTCGTGTGCATTACAAACATTTTCTAGTGATCCATTTATTTCTCTTCTTATCTTAGTTGGTTAACAATGCCAGCGCCATTTTCTTAGCGGGAACGCTCAACACCCCAATGAAACGCTATGATTTGATGAATCAGGTTAACGCGCGCGGGACCTTCCTCACGTAAGCGAGAGTTTTTGTGGTTTTATCATGTGCATAGCTGTAACTTAGCCATATTTTTCTTTTATTCCAGTTCCAAAATATGCTTGCCACACCTGAAGAAAAGGTAGATTTTGTTTGATTACACGATGTAGGTGCATTTTACCTGATTTTACCGACCTGTTGCTTTTTGCTTTTCCATAGCAAAAACCCCCATATTATTAATTTGAGCCCACCTCTAAATCTGAATCCCTTGTGGTTTAAAAATAATTTGGCCTACACCATGGCGAAGTATGGAATGTCCATGTGTGTATTAGGTAAGCTGACATTTGGTTTTACTAGCTGCATTTTCAAGAAACAGCTTTAGAAACCTGCTGATACTTCCGTAACAACTGTTTTTCTGAAATTTCAATGGATGATATCCGTTGTAGGCATGGCTGAAGAGTTCAAGGATGATGGAATTGCGGTGAATGCTTTGTGGCCACGCACAGGTTGGTTTTCGTGTGGCGGTGTCGTTGGGGTAATAACTTGTGCTTCTAGCGCGAAACTTGGAAATTTCGGATGGTTTGATTCAAGCCAGTAACTTGGTCTTGTGTACTGTGCACTGGTGCAGATGATTTCGGTCAACTTAAGCGAATCCATGTATGCTAAATCATTTCGCTTTACCTAAATTGTTTGTACGCAGCGATCTGGACCGCTGCAATGGAGATGATGACGGGAGATGACAAGAGGTGCCGCAAACCAGAAATTGTTGCAGGTTTGTATAGACTACAACTTATAAGCACGGTAAAAAGTTTGAAAACGGCAAAATTTGGGCGCTAAAAATTTTGAATTTAAAGAAATTTCGCTAAACGTCATACGATAGATACCCCTATCCATATTAATGTAATCCATGGTCGGTCTTTCGTAAAAGTTGGGTTACTTAATCAAGTCAATTTCCAGGTGTATTGCGCTTACAGTTCTGTGAGTTTTCTATTGGTTTGCTATTTGTTTGAGTTTAATTGTGCCCGTCTTGTAGATGCCTTTTATGCCATTGTTACCAAAAACAGCCGTGAATTTACCGGCAATTTTTGTATCGATGAGAAAGTGTTAGCCGGCGTGGGCGTGACTGATTTGGACCAGTACGCCGTTGACAAGAGCCAGAAAGACCTGATGCCGGATTTTTTCCTGGATGAAGCCAGCGAGGACTATTCCGAGAAAACACTGCAGGGAATTCGCGATAAGGCTTTCGGGGGAGATAAATCCAAAGGCAGCAGTGCAGGCGCCAAAAATTCCGGTTCACTGCAGAAACCCGGGGAAATTTTCTCGGCTATCGGTGAACACCTGAAGTCCAGCAATGATGGCAAACTGAAAGGAGTCTACGCTTTTGATGTGGAGGGTATGAAAAGCATAACCTCTGTTGCACAACATGTTTATTCCTCGAAAGTCTAATTTTTTCATGTGGAAATGCTATGTGTTTTATAAGAATTACTGGTATAACTACTTTATTTTATTACTACTTTTTGGTACTCGTACATTTTGTGAGTGCGCAAGTTGTGTTAGCACTCAGCAGTATCTACGCATATGATACGCAGTTACTGAAATGCGTTTTTTCCAGTAGATTGTTTCTTTCCTCTCACAAGTCAGTTATAACAATTTACAACGCGGCTTTCCTAGGTATCAAACTTTCTGTTGACGAATGTTGAATAATTAACTTGAGATTAAACAATGCGACGAAAAAGTAAATGATTATTTTGATGCTGTTTTCTTTAAGGAGCTAAATGGTTCATCGATATGGATAAAGGGGAAGCGGGAGAAGGAGAGGGACCTGGCGGCAAACCAGTGTGCACAATGACAATGAAAGAGAAGGACTTCATCGAGCTATTTACTGGGAAAACGCAATCAGCACAGGCATTTATGTCCGGTAAGAGGTCCACTTCATTCGACATTTAAACAAGTCTCCTGTAATGGTCGTATTGCCGTTTTGTTGTGCTGCGTATTATCATAAGCAACGCATAAAAGCCTGACTACCGTATTTGACCAGTTAGTGATCCGGGGACATTATGTTTTCGTAAGAGTTACGTGTGGCGCTTATAGTTCGGAACGGGCTTCTAAATCGTGAACGGTCAGTAATGGATTTAAAATATGGTATAAATAATATCGGCGCCCAAGAAGCTAGTACTATTGAGCTGCGTTCGTTCTCTGTACAGTGTTTTGTGCGCAGCACCGTGGTGATTTCAGACTTTGCAATTGTTCTGTATTTACAGGAAAACTCAAAATCAAGGGCGACATGGGAGCGGCTATCAAGTTGGATCGTTTGCTTCAACAATATAATAAAAATAAGGCCTGAAGGCGATCGACAGTTATACACCTACAGTTTTAAGCATTTTGTTGATTTCGTTCGTTTAATAAATGTTTGTTTTTGTTTGGCTGTTTAACCGATTGTAGTTTATAATAATTTCAATTTTATTTCCACTTGTAGTACTGTCGCTTGCAGTAAAGTGCCAGAAAATGCTACTGATTGACTCCAGCGATGGCTTTGTGCTAATGATGGCGACGTCGTACCTTACCACGTATTTCTTTCTTAATGAGAAATTGAGAAACGCTGTTGCGCTGCCAGACATCTACGAATTTTTCGTGTTTTTCTTATTTACGCATCAACAAATCTTCGAATCCGTGGGGAGTGGCGAAATGGGATACCGGTCTGCTACCATGCAGAGTTAATATTCGCCCACTGTTCACGCTGACGGAGCTGTCCTCACATATCCGATTGTTCATTTTAAAGACGTTAATACCCGATCAAACACGTGCACTTGCTGGAGCAGAAATGCCCTTTTTAGACAAATAATTCACCTACACGGGCACTACGTTTGTATAACGATCGGAGTTTTCTCAACCTTAAATGTTGCGCGCTGCAATAATCATCAGTCTCTAATTTCTGTATAGGAATGTCTATTATGTAATAGTTAAGTGGCTCTTTTATAATGGACTAATCCTTACATTCTCAAAGTACCGCAAGATCTGCTGCAAATTTAAGGAGCACTGCTTTGGTTCATTTTTTGAGAATCCGCATATGAAGGGTTTTATTGCACAGATATGTGTTCTTGGTGCTGGTGTGTTTTAGTTTCTGAAAATTCATAGAGGACATTTTTTCTGCTACGGGCGTACAAGAGAAGCAAATATCAAGTTATAATGGATATTATCAATAATTCTTTGTCGTCCAAAAATGCTACTCTAGATCTAGCTTTTTCGGACTTATCCTTTACTACAGCGTGGACTCTGTTCTCGATCATTAAAGCAGTGGTTGCTGTGCTTTCCCTTATTCTGAATACTGCTTTATTAGTTTTTCATCTGCTCAGTCCATCGTATATCAATCCCTTCACCATTTACTTATTGGCATTATTCGCCACCAATGCCATATACCTTAGCATCAACACACCCGTCACCATTCTGACCCAACTGCAAAGGGCATGGCCATGGGGTCACGGTTTATGCGTGTTCTTTTTGTACAATCAACGGGTCTTCAGTCTGAGCCACAGTATGTCGCACACGCTTATTTCCGCCAACCGATTATGGGCAATGTGCCTTCCGGTGTCATATCGATCACGACACAATAAAAAAACGGCACTGTTCCTTCAACTGGGCATGTTCGGCTATCTCCATGCTGTTCCACTGCCGCCATTCCTCCTAGATATGTTGTACTATCACCCGCAAGAGCACCGCCGAGACTGCCAAGCCCGTTCCATCCGCTACTGGAGCTCGATTGGAATGGTGCTACATCGGTTATTGCCGCTGTTTTTATTGTCGGTGCCTACATTTTCTTGATAATCGGGCGCTGGCGAGCGAAGCGACAAGACCGGCTGATTAAGCACAGTAACCAGTCAACCGAACGGAACACCGCTACGAGTGTACAGGAAGCGATTAACCGGCGAAAGGTGAAGCCATTTATTGTCCTGACCTTGACGTCGCTGAGTGTGCTGGTGTGTTGGTTACCGGAAGACGTTTGCTGGGTGGCTCGGACAAACCTTAACGTATCGTTGTCGGATACTGTTCTGGAAGTTTCTTCAATACTGTTTTCTTGCCAAATGCTGTTTGATCCTCTAATGTGGCTCTTTAGCCTTCGAAGATCATAACATCCTTTCGAAACTTGCTATAAGTTGAGAAAACCTGTGCGCAGTGCCCAAATCGTATATAAATGTAGGTACTAATATATTGTAGCGATAAAAATTAAATGTACCGCCAGTAGGAGTGTTAATTGCCTTTCTCTCCTGATTATTGGTTGTTGTGTTATGAAGATCAGAATCCTTATTTTCTTACATTTTACCGACCGCATCTCACGGTCAGAAAGAAACATCTTGAAATTAGTCTTGCTGCAGCTTGCTCCGAATCTTGCTCCGCGCCTTCCGCGCTTCTTGCCCCTGTGCTTATGTACTTACCGCGCTTTTTGCTCCACGCTTATGCGTTCTTGCTCCTCAGCTTGCGTTGCTCTCTGATTCTTGCTACGTTGTACTTGCTAATAAACACTTGCGATGACCTTGTGTTGCTTAACCGCCATGGGATGATCGTGTATCACCCATCGTATAGTCGCCCTGTAAACGATAGTCAGCTTCCGGTCAGCATCGCTGCTGACCGTGCCATCCTTTCCCACACTAACAGCCGACAGATCGTGGTAAGGTGGATTAATCACCCACTAGAACAGCAGTCAAACCGCCTGCTGTTACAATATCATTCGTTATATACGAGTATATCTGTACTACGTTATATACGAGTATATTCGTTATATACGAGATATAGGAGTATTACTTATTTAAATTTATATCATATCGGTACTGTAAAACTCCTAGTGACGTTGGAAGCTAGGAATGCAGTTTATGAAGTAACTGCATAATAAATACTTCGAAATACAAGAAACAGCTGCGGCTTCGCCTCCGCGTTGTGATCCACGACAGGTTTTATTACTAAATGCATTAATTAATTGCATCGCACAGCATTTTTTGAGTTGTTGATGCTTTTTAACTGAAAAATACAAACTGCACCACGCGTGCACTAGATAGTGAAGGAAACTTGGTCACTCGATCCTATAGCTCTACTGGCTACTGTAGGGATTTTTTTCTTTCATCAAGCCCACCTTTGATCGTTGAGAAAAGGCAGGAAATTCGATACGACGGTTGTAACCGTACACTTCCGGTATGTGAGTGACCTTTTCCGGTCGGGTCGAAAATGCCTGCAGGATACACGGCGTTGCTCTTTTATTAACATTATGGCTGCGTGCACGGGTGACATTTTTGGGTTCGCGCGGGTACAGCTGGCTGCGTGCACGGGATTTCTGCACGGGAATTTCGTTGTACAACAATGTACATAGCAAGTACCAGTAGTAAAGGGCGTCCCGCAAGGCGATTTTGTATTCCAGTTCCCCACTGGACTTCCGGACTGCAGTTTGTGACGTCACGATAAGTAAATAAATTCCGCAAAAAAATTAAAACTAAAATATACTTTGTATTAATAATTTACAAAAATATTACCATAGTTACTGATTAAATCGTTAATTGTTGACTGTATTTAAATATTTACTCCTAGTTTTCTATAGTGTAAGGAATCCCTTGACCATTTACTGTACTGTATTATTATTTGATTTATGTACGGGATGGTATAAAGAAGGTGAAAGCATTTAATAACTAAAGCAGTTTAGACGAATAAAACGATTACGTTATTCAGAATTGTTATATAGTTTTTTAAGCACAACAGCAAAATGACAACCAGTAAGTAATAGCTTGTTAGTCATCGTCCGAGGTGCTCATTTCCGAATCGCTTTCTCCCACGTCATCCACGCGCGGGTCATCACGGACTTCCGGATGGTCACCTGACAAAATGAAATAAAACCACAATATTTTAGGAAAATGAATACAAATAGATAAGCTGATCATACCATGCAGCGCGTTCTTAGCCAGGTTCATGGCAATATCCAGTTTGTTCAAAGCAGCGGTGACATCACGTCCGTTCTCAGACTGGGTCAGGTATCGGTCAGCGATGAGAGTGCTAACAGTGGACATTTCTTGGACAATGGGAAGAAACGCTTCCTGGGCTAAAAGAAACTGTGAAATAAAACTTAATACAAGCTAAAATACCTACACTTACCAATGGTCATCTTCTCAATGTTTAGCTTTGATTTGAGATGTTCAAAGCCGTTTATCAGGGAGAGGCAGTGTTCCTTAATTCTGTCGTTATACATTGATACAGTGTTTGACAGCTCAGTCAGTTGTTTCCACAAGGATTTGTACGCCTTGGTTCTGGCCTTAAGCTCACTTTCCGACAGCTGAGCGGTAGGCACAAGTTCACTGGTCGTTCCAATGTGAGTTCGTGAATTTTTCTCTAGCAGTTTCGTTTCGTCTTGTTTCTTTTTCTTGTCAGCAATGATGCGTAATTTTCTGCGAGTTATGTGGTGGGTAATTTGATATTTCATCGATCCAGTAGCCCTCATCAGGCGATGGCATACTGTCTGGCGGACAGGAAGCCAAAAGAGTTGCAATGCTTTCCATGTGATACTTTTCATTGTACAACGTCCAACAGCTTCTTCAGTATTACAATAATAGCAGTGAACATTGCTTTCTGATGGTGGTGAATGTACGCGAGGTCGAGAGCGCTCTTCTGGAACTTGCGCACCAGTTTACCCTGTAAGTAAATGCAATTGATAATTAGGTTACTGCATAAACATTTCTTACCGTCTTAGTGCGCCACTCGTCGGACTGGATGTTCAAGTATTTAGTGGTGTCCACCGCCAGCCTGTTTCTATACTTGATGTTGTAGACATTGCTATGGCTGGCAAAATCCACAAAATATTGTGGCAGTTTCGTAGCGGGTTTTTTGAATCCCTAAAAGAAGCAGACGTTAATACATACCGCCATTTCTTTTCAACTTTTACTTAGGACTTAAACTGACAACTACAACAGTGGGTGAAACTTACAGAATTATTATGATTAAATAACGAATACATAACGCTGCGCTTGCCAACTGCTTACGTTATTGTACATGTTCATTTAAACAGAATTACTCATAATTGTGCAACACTTCGTTTTGTTTTGTTAGATCATTTGGAGCATTTATCGTTTACGTGCGTTTGTTGTTTAGCACGTAAACGACAATTGCTCCAAAAAATTCAACCCTTTGTTTTCGGATAATTAACCAGAGAGTAGTCTGAAGTTAAAATCTGCACAATTTTTCGTTTAATCTAAAGAGTTATTTTTGGGAACATCTATCCTTTGCACGCATTTGTTGTCAGCGCGCAAACGACAGCTGCTCCATAAAATACAGTCCTGTTCTTCCGGCTAATTAGGGTATCTGGAATCGGCCAGTAGAAAGTAATAACAAGTAAAATTAGCCGTCACAGCTTTATCTACTCGGTTGCCTAGAAAATAAATGTCTTCTACGACAAACGGAGAAGAATCAGCAGTGAAGGTAATCACACAGCAAACATCGCACTGACATTTATGACTTGACTTGGTTAATTTACACGTGTTTATATAAGCGCTCTCACACGCAAAATAGTTTACCGAGAAAGATAATGTTGTGAAACAAATTGCTGTGCAGGAAAATGCATGCACAGTATTTTGTTAATATAAACAGTTATAATCAGATGCGTTCACGCAGTTCAAAAAAATACGTGCAAGCATTGTAACCAAACTCCTGATTTATTGTAATGCTCAATCATGAACAGCCGGACGCTCCAACGACTCCGGTAAGTGAGACAGATGTGAATTAAGTAACACTGCAAGTCACCCGCACCTTAAATTATAGGATACGCTACGGATTCGACAGTTCCTTCAGCTCCTATGAAACAGAAGAAGAAATTGGTAACTTTGTAAAAATCCTGGAAAAAACAATATTCCATATACGTATCATTTTCAGACGATTGCGATTGTACCGCGGAGCAACGCGGTGTCAATGGAGAGTGTCGAATCACCAGCTAAGGAAAATGGAAAAGAAATCCAAAAGCAACTCGAGCAAAATCTATTTGAGAAGTTGGCAAAGTTCCTGATAAACTTCCTCAATGTGTCTGAATTTTTTAAACCAAGTATATTACATTTTCCACTATTAAAGACTATGCATGTGGCTTTTTCATCTTTATTGTCATGCTGAAAAATCTCGGCTCGTAATATTTGTCACCAGTCGAATGTCCAATATTTTCAAGGTTTTGTCGTCGCAGCTGACATGAAGCAATAATATTAACGACCTTATAATTTGTTATTCGTGCTCCTTTGTAACCCGTAGCAATAAGCTTTCGCAAAAGTATTTGCACAGTTTCGTGACTCGCGTAGTGTGCGTCCACCATTAACAGTAATTTTTCCGTTGCGATATAATTGGCAGTGGAATTTTTCGGATATAATACGCGCCACAAAAAGACAAGAGAATTTTTAGGATCGTATTCTGTGATAAGGTCTCTGTTCAAATTAAGCTGCTGCAAGTCGATTTGGCATTCAAGTGCGCAGTTGCGACGATATTAGTTATTTGCGCCATGTATCCAGAAGTTGGTTATGATCTCAGGTTCCAATGGCCTTTCGGAGCAATAATATGTGGGCCAACAATGAGTGGTAAAACACAATATGTTCTTAAAATGCTGAAAGGAAATGCAATGGACGTCGTCCCAACCAGAATAGTGGTAGCATACAGTCAATGGCAAAACTCGTACGAAGAAATTAAGATTTTCCACAAACAGAATTTGTTAAAGGATTAAAGGACGATTTACTAGATTGGAGTTTTTTTCAAAGCAGAAAATAATCTGCTGATTATAGATGATCTAGCGGGCGAAATGGCAAGCAGTGAGTTAGCCACAAAGCTATTTACGCAAGGAATACATCACAGAAATTTGTCAGCAATTTATATCACACAGAATTTATTCAAGCAAGGTAAAGCAAGTCGGATATTGCCTTAAATACTCAATATATTGTGTTGTTTAAAAATGTTCGCGACAACAACCAACTGGATTATTTATCGACAAACAGGATTTAAGCATCTAAAAAAAGCGTATAAAAAAGATTACTGCTACTCCATTTGAACCTTTGATTTTGATTTAAAACCAAATTGTCCCGATTATTTGCGTCAGATCTCATGTTGTGCAAGAAAACAAAACGGACTTACAAACAGCAAGAATTTACACCGACCCGAATTTCTGTGCAGTGCCGTCAGCATGACCAAACATTTGAAAGAATTTGCTTGTTTTACTGTTTCTCTCGTCGCTCAACCCCAAGATCGCAGAGCTGTCGCGAATCATTGTAACAAAAAGCATATTAAAGGACTGGAAGAGTGCTGCTTGAATATCGTAAAAAAATACCGTAAATTTATCACCAGAAAGTACGCGAATTTGCAGACGCTGGAAAAGCCGATACGATTATTAGCTCTTCGACGGTATCCCACAAAAGCAAAAGCGCTATTAACACAAAAGGTGGTTTTCAGCAGTGCTGCCAGTTTTAGCAAGTGTTCTGGCCGGAGCGCTAAATTCCTAATTTAAGGTCATGGAGGCATTATATTGTACCTGAGCGGGATATCAAGAAGCGAGCCGAGCTGACAGTTTTACAGGCTCCACCTGAAGCGAACAACATTTTATCGCTTATGATTTGACATCAAAATCCTTTCAAGTCAAAATTTAAGTGAATGGCAGAAAGCACAATTACTTAGTAAAAATTTAGAACGGTTCATGGCATTAAAGCCCAGAGCACTTCAAGAAGGTAATCCCTTGATAGTCTGTCCGTAAGTGTAAACGACGCCACAACCTGACTCCATCAATCTTAACTACACCGTTAACCGGTACCAAGAAAGAAAAGAGTTCGCGCCACAACAGCATCGTCAAAATCACGCAGAAAAATCAAGAAAAACCCTGACTGATATTGATTCGGATGATTCTGGATGAATATGATCTCCCAGTGCAGCCATTACGTCAAATGAAAGGGAAACGGTAAACGCGTACTGGAACAAACGCTAAACGAAACAAAATATCGCCCGATAATAAATTCGCTGTAAGTGGGAAGAGGTACCACGCCGGCGTGGCGAGCGGGTACGAGAGCAGACAAAGTTTTATAAAAGGCAATTAAAGGCCGCTGGCTAAAGGTTCTTTAAAATGTCGGTTGTGTGCCGGTAAATCTAAATTTTGGACAAGGATGAAATTGAATTGTGTTTCTTCTTGCTGTTCTGATGACAGTGACGAAATAAAATAGAAATTCGTCTAAGCTGGTGATAAAGCCAACGAGGTACCTAAAATTACTCAGCCTGTTTCCGATGGACCAGCACTATCTCAATCCTAGTGCACTGAGCAGCCTAGGGGCTCGAGCGTTTCCACAAGAACCTTCCAGAAAATGTTTCAAGGAAAGCCAAAAATATTCTTGAAGGGATCGATGCCTACACTTTACATAAGCCTGTCAACCGAAAATTCCGGAATCCGGTGGTCGTCCTAAATAAAATAGCCAGCTCCAGGTAGATTTGATGGATATGCAAAAGTTCAAAAAGTGGAACAAAAAATTATGGCTACGTGTTAGTTATTGATTGTTTTTCTAAAAAAATAGAATGCGAGCTAATTATGTAAAGATGGTTTATCAACGGCAAAAGCACTGAAAAAATACTAGAACGCCTGTCCATTCGACAAAATAGGCTGATAAAGGCCGTGAATTTTTCAATAAAATGAGGGATTTATCAAACGGAAAGAAATTGCTATTCAGTTCGAAAACGATGACATAAAATGTTCCGATGGCGGAGCGTTATTCGAACGCTGCGCATATGGCGCTTATTTACTAGTCGAAAATCTACAAAATACGATCGGCTACAAAATATTGTAAAGACATATAATCCACACTTCACTCACATGGCTTTGTCCTGCGGATGTAACTGAAGAAAATTCCCTGCTTGTGTTTAATCGATTATACGAGAAAACAGACCATAAAAAAAAAGAAACCAGTATTTAAGGTGAAAGATGTCGTCGGAATTGCAGAAAAGCAGACTTTGAAAAGGTTTTGAAACAAACTTTCAGGAGAGCTTTCGAATAGCAAAGGTAATACCACATACACCGGAGCCAGTGTATCAGCCCTGAGGATGAAAAGAGAACCAGTAGTAGGAAAATTTTATGAGCTAACGCGGATTAGAAAATGAATAGCTTGCAATATCAACAGCCATTTTACATCACATTGCCGAGTGATGCTTGCACAGATATTTACTGAATAACACTGCATCCAGTTGGAAAACCAAATTATGCAAAACAATTTCATTGTCTGGAAATGGGAAGTTGCAATTGTCGAACTCTATTACCCAAATTCCATGTACAATCTCCTACAGACCAGACCATGGATTGTTTGCAGGTTTACGATATTGCAACAAATTCGGATGCTAAAACAGGGTTGGAAAAGTTCCTATTTGAGAAAAGCGCATTACTTTTTACGCCGGTAATTATACCAACGAACAAATCATTGCAACAATCTTCGCAAATTCCGAAGCTCCTCTTGGCAAAAGGACAAGAATCCAAAAGAGGAGAGCCTTTCAATTGAATTACTAGCTAACAATCAAAAGTGCAAATTGTACCAATGCCAATACGTTATTCTGGCTATTAACAATGAACTGCTGAACGCATATTGGGGTGTCAGCATCGACAACTGTTTGGTATTCTGATCCTGCAAATATTGTTGACCTTAGCAAAATTTTGACGGTTTAAATCAGTTGGAGGAATTTTCAAAGAAAAGAAAGCTCGACAACAAACAGTTGCGAAAGCAAATACAGTTCTCACCGCCCCAACCGCCACCTGCCGCCTGCGCAAACACCAGCGCCAAAGCCAGCAGCAACAGCCTATATCTGCGAAAAAACAGAATTACCGTCATCAAAAAAATACCGAAGGAACCGGTTCAAAACAAAATACGTCCGTTTCAGAAAGCGTTCAACAACCGGAACGAAAAAGTCAAAGCCGGCACTGATAATTATCCAAAACTTTTGTTTACTGCCCAGGAAGCTATAAACGCCATGATTGGCAACCAATCTTATATATTTATTGCGATGTTGCGGATTTTACTTTGCTTGGTGACACGTATGCGCAAGTTTTAAGAGCAGTGCCTATTAGCAACGAGGCTTTCAAAATTATCACGGAACGTTTTGAAATGCCTCATTATGTTCCACTTTTACGACCCATTTTCGACAACATCGAAGCAACAATTGCCACTGATCTCGGAGACAACGCTAAATCTCGCAACAGGAAAATCGATGGTGAAGCCCACTTCCGACCGGCAAGATACTGAAAATGGATATAAAGCTTTTGCCCGATCCAGGATTATTTGATGATTTACCAATACACAGCTGGGGAGCGGATTTGTTCGATATCGTGGAAGCTATCAAAACGGTGGAGGTTTGGTAGTTTTCTGCGTGCAGTATTTTCCAAGGTTGCTCGTTTTGTTGCACTAGTTGTAAGGCGGCAGCGCCGCAGGGACAAGCCGCATTAGCAGCTGCTGCCTCACTTAAAAGAAGCAGCTACATGGTACATGAAGCTGCAAAATCTGTGGGCAACAAAATCGCCCGCGTTCTCGCACCAACTCAACAAACATCTAGCGGCGGTAAAAGGAAGAAAGGTATTAAAGAAGCCACCGAAGCGAAACGACTACCAAAATTCGCCGTGTCCCACCATTTGATCTTCCTGATTTAATGAAATGACTTGCCAATCGAAGGGTCAGAACCTGCCATTGCTGCAGAATCGCACATTTTTGCCATACCGCCTTCGTTTGCGGACCGATTCCGGACAGAAGAAGAAAGAATCGGCCCCATTAGCCGCCATTCCGGAAAATATTCCGGCGGGTGGTGACATAAACTTTATATAGCTCCTTCATCAAACGCCATGGTTTCTTTACCGGACTTAAGCATAGAATTAGAAGTAGCATTGAAAAAAGGATTGCTGATGGTAGTTGGGAGCGAATCAAAGCGACGGATACCTGTGCTCCTGTAAATAATTTGATTCACTCAATGTTTCAATCAGTTCAAGTTTCGGTTGCTAACCGATTGGTCAGCGACTGCGCAATCTATTATCCATACAGAGCAATGTTTGAGTGCTTGCTAAATTACACAAAGGAGGCGATGAATACACAGCTAACATCCTGTGGCTTTTACTTGGATGTCGCTGGAAGTTTTGAAGATTCTGTTAACAACTCAGCCGAACAGTCTCGACTCAGGCTTTTCGCAAAACATGAATACATTCCTTTAAGCGGGAAATTGTTTTCGGATATTTTCATGCAAGACAAGCCTTTGATAACTGGAGTTCCGTTACAAATACGCTTTGTTTTACATAAACCCGAATTCTATCTTCGTGATTTTGCGAATCCGGCGCAGGACGAATTTAAATTGTTCATACGCAATCCAAGAATTTTGTTCGCCGTTATGTTGGTAAGCAGTAGAAAAATTTGAAAATTTCTGCATAAAAAATCTAATGTATTGCTATTACAGGGGTTCCAGAATACATGAATGCTATAAGCAAGCGGTTATTAACCACAACAGCAAAATATCCTATAGAACGTGTTCTGATGCGCCCGATCGAATTACCTGCCAACATACAAAGCACTGTTTTTAATAACATACACGTTGGTCAAGTCCCCAAGGTGCTTTTTGTGGCTTTTGTCGCAGCGGATGCATTTAACGGCACGAAAAGACAAATCCATTCAATTTTCAACACTTTAATTTGTCTCAAATCAGCGTCGAAGTTGATGGACAGTCTTTTCCTAATCGGCCGTACGAGCCGGATTATGCAAACGGTAATTATTTGGAGTGCTATGATGGTCTGCTAGAAACTTTAGGACGGCGTAACAGTCCTTTGGCGCCTTGCCTTTTAATCGCGACGAGTATGCAAACGGATTTTGTATTTACGGCTTTGATTTGACGCCAGGGGGACCGGACTCGGCCCTCTAAGTCTAATCCGTCAGGGTAATTTAGGCATCCGAGTAGTCTTCAACCAACCGCTCAAGCAGCCCACGATCATGGTCACGTTTCTTACGTTTGACGCGGTAATAGAAATTAACAACTTCCGTCAGCTAATTTGTGACTTTACCAATTAACTAAAATGGATAATCGAACAATAACAAAGCTACTTTGCCAAAATCCAAAAACTGAGAGGATATTTCGAGGAGTTTATGCCCGGGATACACTTCCCGAACTGTCCAATGTTTTACCTGCCGCCTACATCGTCAACACGGACAAATCCAGTGGTTCTGGTGAACACTGGCTAGCATTCTATCAGAGCGAGCCGTCGTCCATCGAGTTTTTTGACTCGTACGGACGATCTGTGGAGTATTTTGACGAGATCAGAGAATGGTTAACTGATTTACATGTTGTTTATCAAATGGAACGTATACAACAAACGTTTTCGACAGTCTGCGGTCAATTTTGCATTTTTTTTATTTATAAGCGCGCCAGCGGAGAATCATATAAAGACATTATTCATTATTTCACAAAAAATTACGCAAACAATGATGCAATGGTTTGTCAATGGGTAAACAATCACTTTAACATGAACACAGCAATGTATGCAGAACTTGAATAAAATAAAAAAGCAGCAGATTTTTTTGGGTTTTACATTTCACATTTTATGTCCCTGAGGTAGAAGTAGAAGCAATCAGCACTGTTTTTTTTCGCGTTTTACATTTCAAATTTTTATGGTAACACAGTCATGCTTTACCGTAACACAAAGCGCAAACGTTTCCGTCGTCTTAGACACTACCGTCTTCACCACCGTTGCCGCTGTTCCCTTCCTGGGCCTGGTTGACTTCGATAGGTAGTTTCATCTTCCCGTCTCCAATCTCCGTAATCTTCAGCTTTTCCATGGCAATACGCTTGACAGACTCCCACAGGGTATCCTTGTGCTGGTCCAAAAACTGTTTGGCGTTAAAACCCAAAATGTCGTCAAATCCGGTAAGTTGGCCCCAAGGACGCAGTAACAACATCATGCCAATAAGACGTTTGCCATTTCCAAGCTCGGTAATGATGTCGTTCATCATTTCTTCCGTTAGATTCAGTGTGCCCAATCCCCATTCACAGGCATGACTGGCTTCACGAACAGTCGGTTGTGTAAACAACGTTACCATTTCCCGCAACGTGCACAGTTCTCGTGCAGACGGTCAAGCCACATACCATACATGGTGAACGGCAGGCCAGCCAGCAGGCTTGAGAAATCCGCTGCCGTTGGTTCGTTGTGAATCACCAGCGAGCCACGTGCTTTCAGCAAAGCATTGATGTCCTTGAACATTGACAGGTCTTGGATGGTGGTACGAAGCGATTCAAACGACTTTATCCCAAAAGAAACACCATTCTTGGTGGCCTGCATGTCGCCGTTGCCTCTCTTGCAGAACTGGCGGATATTGGCCAGCGCTACACTGTCATAGCTTGACCACACAAAGTAGACGTCGTTTCCGAGGTGAAACAGGGTGGACAGGTTACCGCTGGTTAGCTGTGGGTCCCGGATTAAAGTCGTAATGTTGTTGTAGATGAGTCCAACGAGGCGCATGAACTGGTCATTGGTGAGAAAATGTGTTTCTCTCCCAGCGTCCATTTCGCAGCTGGTCCAGGAGGATTGGCAGTCGTAAAGTCGCCAATAATGAACTCCAAGGCCTGGGTGTCACTGTTGATGCGGGTGCAGATGAACTTGTCGTACCCGAACTTCATGGTGGGGAATCCTTCATAGTGGAAAGCGATCTTTCCGCTCGCAAACTTGCGCTTTGCTTCCCAACAAGATCCGTTTTATCGGGTACGAAACCGCGTTTGGCAGGAGGTAGACCAGTCATGGTATATCAGAAGAAAAGGTAGACTAACTAAAAGTGTCAGGAAGAATAATGAAAACGAGTTGGAATTAGAAGCCTGTATTTATATTAATCAAATACTCTAAACACCCTGACCACAAAATCCGGTTCAGCAAATTGTTGCTCAGCATTTTGCTGTTCACACTGAGCTTTATAAAACCGTAGAGTATAGAGCACACACGCACGTACGCACGGCTACACGCTAACCGAACAATGGACGGTTTTGCAAGTGCTTTTGGCCCTCGTGGGGATCCGCGCTATCCAGCCGAAAGTGTTGAGAATCGCATTGAAACATTTCGTGGTTGTGGGGTAAAATTACACTGGAAGTGGCGAAAGAGTACGCCGAACTGGGCTGGTACTGCACGGGGATCCAGCACCAGATCCGTTGCGTTTACTGCTGTGAGATTGAGGAACATGTCTAACGGGCATCTATCGCACACCGTGCAAGAATCCATGCTTTGGCAAAGCGGTTAAAGATAACTTCCCACAGATGTGGGTGGAATGCAACGGGGTGCGGATGGATTACGATCAGGACAACATTGAGTACAACCATTCACCCCCAAACAATCCCGACTGCGCAAAGTATAACACCATGTATGCGCGGGCGTTTTCCTTGACGATAGACCGTGGCCCGAAGACAAAAAACACTTGGTGTACAAACTGGCCGAAGCTGGATTCTACAACTGCGGTGAGCTTCACAACAAAGCATTTTTTTGGCTATCAGATCGACACAAAAAAACAACGGTTACGATTACTGGTCGAACAGTTAAACCAGGCGAAGGGGGTGGGGGGCCCTGTTGCTCGCTGCCGACACATTTGGCTAATGTGTTGACGGTAACACGTCGACCGAGCGCTTCGCGCTTCCGGTCGCCCGTTGTTTACAGGACAATGGGTTTTTTATTATTATGCAGGTCTTGCTGTGCCGGGTGTTTCGGTATGCCCGGATGCTGTACGCTGTTTTACTGCTATGTTTTCATTTCTGGATTGCCGCTGGATCTGGAACCATGGATTGAACATGCCCGCCAATCACCAGCCTGTGCATATCTGATGAACGTGAAAGGCAAACGGTTCATCAACGATGTTATACGAGCTTGCAAGTCCCCTGTTACCGACATTGGAATACAAGGTGTGTTTGATCTGTTTGTCACTTTTACTTTTTTGTGTAGTTTGTTTTTTAATAATAATATTATGTAGGTATGACTGTTTTGGAAAACAAAGCACGGCTCGTTGGCTTCAGTCAAGACCAAATTGATGCCGCTAAAGCTAAAAAGAAGGGTCGTTTCTATTTTTGGGAGGAACTGGAAGAAGCGGTGGAGTTCCATAACGCCGATTTCCTGGAACAAAAGCATTTTTTGCACTATGCCACCGAAGTACCTGTCGGAGACGATGCCCGCACCGTTGAGCAGTTGAAATGTAAAATCTGTCTGTCGCGGTATGCCAACACGCTGATCAGTCCGTGTAAACATCTGGTCATGTGCGGACAGTGCGCCAAAGCGACCCTAGACCGTGGAAGCCTCTGCCCGTACTGTCGTCAGCCTGTTGAAGCCGTCACGTCACTTTATTTTACTTGATGCATTTTGCTGTTCTGGAAAATTGTGTGTGACAAAATGTTGCACTGCAAAATGTTGCAGTTGCATTCTGCTGATACTATATAACTGCAATACGTTTATTCTGCTTCCTTTTTTCTCTACTTGCTTTCATTTGTTGTGGATTCTTTAAACGTAATGGATAATGGATGACCCTAATGCTTTTGATGGCGAGGCTCTTTGGGATAAAGTTTTAAGTGACTTGGAAATTCAGCTGCAGGACTATAATGTACTTACGACTCCGGCAACAAGTGCTTTGGGTATAATTAAACGCGAAAACGTTTTGTACAGCTGTTGAAATGTAAATTTATTGTAGTAACGCAACAACAACAACAACAACAGCCAGAACTACACTTTCAATCAAGCCCGTGGTCTCCACCACCCATTCAGCCGATTTTTAAAGGTTTAATTATTTTTATCATCTCGTTCACCGAATTTTAAAACTGAGCATTTCTTTAATTTATAGATGAAGCAACTGGTGCGGAAATCCGCCACCACGGTATCTACACAATTTTTATTTCTCTGCCAGCAGCAGCAGCAGCAACATATGCCTCAAGTTTCATTTTCATATTGCAGTGGGTGACCAGATATTCCGTTTAACACCATTATATGGCCGCCTGGAAGACTTGAAAAGCGAGTCTGATGCTTTGTTTGTTTTGCAACTTTTTTCAAAATATAGTGATGTTGCAGGCATTGATCCAGTGCAAGGATATATAGCGCGTTACGAATACTACAAGCAGCGCCATCTCTACATTATTCTGTCGCCACATAACACTACAGCTCTCCCTGGTGACCAACAACTTCCCGATCCATTACCTATCTCAGATCAATTGCCGTTCGTTTCACCGCTTTCCGTTCCGTTCTCTGGTGCCACTACATCTCCAACTGCTGAAGTTGCTGAACCCAGTACATCTGCACTTCCATCATCGTCAAAAAGTAAGTTTCTTATCCTGATCCTAAACTCTTTTTTGAATATTTTCTTCTGTAGATACTGTTACTGCAGCGCCAGCGGATTCTGGGGACCAGTATCTCGTGCCATCTGCCAAACGTATCAGATTAGCAAACGCTGAATCCGTGGACTGGCTCTACCAGACCTTTACTGATAAACGGACGATAGGACCTTCCGAAGTTATTCACAGTACCGCGATGCGTATAGCATCTTTGTTAGAAAAGGATCCAATAATCCTTTCATGGCTTTCTACCGGTTGCATAAAAAATCCAACGTACAGTTCGTTATTGCCCGCCATAAAAATACACGGTGCAATGAACTGGTTGTCGGAATGGATATTCTGGAAAAGATTATAGAATGGACCAATACGCCTGCTTTTGCAAAATACCGCCAAAAAACAGTCTCCGCCTCCACCGCCAATGCGCATCCGGAAACCCTATCGTGGTGCATTATCGACACCACGTCCAATACCCAAGCAGCTTTTGTTCATGAAAACCGTACTACGACTGCCTCCGATGACTCAGCCATGTCTGTACGTATCAGATCTGGCGATACCATAAAAAATTGTGTTGATATAAAGTCAGATGAGTTAGAATTTGTAAAGCAGTGTCAGGAACACTTTTCTGTCATTAAGAACCAGTTGCTGTGACCTTTCTGCTTGCGAAAATGCCTCGCATAGTTGCTGATGCTGCTGCTGATTTAATTGATTCTGATAATGATAACGATACTAATGCTGTTAATGATGACGATGTTACCGAAGACCCGCTTCATATAAAGAACTTTTTTGTGTTGAAACCGATAAATGATTTTACAACCGCCGTTATCAGATGACGTGTAAAGATTTGCTTGCAAAGTTCATCAGCTCAATCATATTCCTTTTGCTGAGATTCCCGATGTCATAACAGCCATTTTGAACGAAATCTTAAATGAAATCCTTACTGACATCCCAGATCACGAACGGGTAAGAATCAAGTTGCATAGCCGTCACCTCTCGTACCCTATTCACACACCTTTCATTCGTCGTGATCAGTTAACCGTTGCGCGATTGATGAAAGAAGTTTCCCGCGTACTCAATTCAAACCAAGAATTTGTACTGGATGATTCTTTTGAGCTGGAAATTCACCATTCCAACCTTCCCGCTGGATCCTGTCGATACGATGTTCCTTTATTATTGCGCAAAAAGCTGGAGACCATGAGGAGCGTAATACCTGTGCGTAATTCAGACAACCTCTGTCTGGCTCGTGCGCTTGTTATAGCTAAGGCCCTCGCAGATGATAATATACCGCTGTACAGATGCTTGTATCGCACCAAAGGACTCTGTACGGCTTCCGACAGAACGCTGCAGACAAAAATGGCAAACGAACTCATTGCTAGCGCAGGACTAGAACTTCGACAATATACTTTGGAAGACGTTCAACAGTTTCAAATGGCCTTACCGGACTACCAAATCCTGATAACGAGCGTCGACCACCTCAATACGATTGTCTATGCCGGCGAATATGCCGAAAAAAAGATTCGTCTGTTACATCATAATAACCATTTTGATGTCTTGAAAAGCCTGCCGGCTTGGTTCAAAACATCATACTGGTGCGACCGTTGCAGTCGCGGATACGATCATAAAAATCGCCATCGATGCCAATACCGTTGCAAACAATGCCTGCGATTCGAATGTAATCCTGGAGAAGATAGAATATACTGTTCGGACTGCTGCCGAACATTTAACGGTGAAGAGTGTTTCAATCATCACCGCGCTGCTGGCTCGGGAGAAAACGGGATTACGGTATGTCAAACGCTATTTGTCTGTTCATCTTGCCAATCATTTGTCTCCAGAGCTTTTCGTACCACGGACCACGTGTGTGAGATTTTTTGCACGGTGTGCAAAGAACACGTAACAAATGACCATGTTTGCTACATTGAGCCCGAAGTCCTGACGGACCAGGATCTCGAAAAGCACGAACAGGCCCAGTTTCTCTATTTCGATTTTGAGACTTACCCGTGTCCGGAAACGGGCAATTTATTTCCCGAACCTGGCCGTTATCCAAAACGACAACGGCCAGGAATGGATTTTTCCTGCCGACTCGTCCGATATCGGCCGGGATATAACAACAGAATTTTGCGAGTTTTTGTTTTCCGGATCATTTAAAAACTTTTATGTCTTGGCCCACAACCTTCGGGCGTTCGACGGTTTTTTTGTTCTGAAATGGTTATTAAAAAATGGGATAGTTCCAAAGCTCATAATGAACGGCTCAAAATTATGCAACTGGATGTACCTGAATTTGGCATAAAATTTCGTGATACTTTAAATTACAATCCCCAATCGCTCGACGCTTGGGCTCAAGCGTTTGGAGCGACAGAGCAAAAGGGTAAATTCCCTCATCCGGTCAATCGCCCAGAAAATTTTGGCAAAATTATTCCCTATCCTAAAAGGGAGGATTTCAACTATAGCTTGATGAATAACAAAGAAAGAAAAGACTTTATCAAAGGATTTTATCGAAAAGATCGGAGAAAAAAGAAAGGGAAGTACAATGTCAACGAGGAGCTCGTCAAATACTGCAAACAGGATGTTAACACTCTACGCGTCTGCTCTCAAGAATTCCGAAAGTTGTTCATGGTATTTCAGGCGGGCTTTGCCCATTTACTTCCGCTAACAATTGCGGGTATATGCCATTTTTCTGGCGCGCACGGATATTGGAAAAACCTTATTGCTATAAAAAAACCCTAGTCAGCGCATGCAATCAGTCAAATGGTAAATGGTTGTGCTACATTGAAATGACGGAAGGCAAAGCACTTGCAAGGGAAAAGAAGATTGGAAAATTTACGTGGACGGCTATGACGAAGAAGCGGAAATTATTTACGAATTCTATGGCGACTTCTGGCACGGCAATCCCGCAACCACGAAACGCACATTTGTAAATCATCTCAAGCAAACGATGGAGGATTTGCGGCAACCGTCCAACGGAAATTGCCCTTAGGAGCAAATGGGATACTCTGTTATTAAAATTTGGGAAAGCGAGTACGATCAGAAATTGGTAGACGATGAGGATTTTCGTGAAACAATAAAAGATATTCATGTTCACGCACCTCTTCAACCCCGCGATGCTCTATATGGCCGGACCAACGGGACACGGTTGCATTATAAATGCGAGCCCGAGTAAAATACGGTACAACTAGTTAAGTAAAGATTATAATTTCAATTTTAATGAGAAGTGTTTTTTTAGGTTTGCCGATGTCATTTCGGAATATCCTTTGTGAATTCGCGGAAAAGATATCCAGTTGGCCCACACGTGCGAATTACTGCGGACTTTGATCCAAACTTGGAAAATTATTTGGACTATTTTACCTGACCATTCTACCGCCCAAAAGTCTATGGTTACCTGTTCTACCTTACCGTACCCGAAAAAATTAACTTTTCCGCTATGCCGGCTATGTGCTGAAACGCAGCAAAATTCTAGCTGTCAGCACACAGACGCCGAAAGATCACTTACGGGCGTCTGGTGCTCTGTGGAAATCATTAAGGCACTATCCTTGGGATATACGGTGGTAAAAGTCTACGAAATTTGGCATTTTCCGAGTTCTCGCGAAGGTTTATTTAAAGAGTACATCCAGCATTTCTTGAAATTAAAAACGGAAGCCAGCGGTTGGCCCTCTAATGTTAAAACAGAAGAAGAGAAAAAGCAGTATATGGAAGAATTTTTACTTCGAGAAGGTGCATCTATTGACGCCGAGAAAGTGGAAAAAAACCTGGGGCTTCGCGCCCTTGCAAAGTTATTTTTAAACAAGTATGTCTTCTGTTTCATTAGGTATACATTAGCTGAAATTGCTTAACGTTTCTATTCTCTTTGTAGTTTTGGGGCCGACTCGGGATGCGCGAGGATAGATTGTCTACACAGTTCATTTCCGAGCCCAAAGATTTTTACGAACTTTTATTAAATGATGCGTTGGAAATTCACAATATCGAATTCTTCAGTGACACCGTTATTCAAGTTGCGTACAAGTCCAAGGAAGACTTTATTCCAGTTAACCCAAAGACTAATGT